GTGCACGTATTTCTACTGGCTTTGAAACCAGACTAGGAGTCATTGATAGCATGTTCTGCTTGAAACATTGTGGCGAGTCCGATCCAGGTTAGGGGCACACAAGAGAGGGCAGAAGAGGCGGTGTCCACGCAAGGGAAGGCAACTATCCAGATCCCTATTCTTTACAGCATCATTTGAGACCGATACCCGATAACCTTCAGTAATTCAGGCGATAAAATGTATGCCCAGAGAGAGTTTCTATTCGTCCTTGATGCGGGTAGGCCGGGGATAGGCGAGGCTCGGTTGATTTGGCAGGCAATGACCCATTCACTTGACATCTAACGGTCGTATTTGCTGGCATCCGAGCACCACGAACTATACGCTGAGACATACGAGTAAGCTGACGCAATATCGGTAAGACCCTTAGTGTGGAAGGTTGCTCTGCTCAAGACAACGTGGCGGGTTGGGTGTAACTGGCAACATTTATACCTAGACGAGAATGAAAGACAGTTTTCAGAATTGACTCATAGCAAGAACTATTGACTACTGCGTATTAGTACCCACAAGAGGCTCGAGGCTCACGCGCGTTGATGTTTGCTGGAGCCAGGAATGCAAGTCGATGCGGACAGGTGGTGCGAGTTGCCGGAGTTAGCCAATCAGGGGACCCGTGGCAATCGGCAGGCGATTCAGGCTGTCAGGCAACTCTTTCGAATCTGGACTACGATTCCCGAGTATCGGGTAACTTTTCAGAGCACAGCCTTCTTGACAATTCACTATTAATAGCACGGAATCGGATCGCTTTGAGATGGTTGGTGGATTATTAAACTATGAGAAAATTGTAATGGGAGCCACCAAAGAATATTATCGTTGGGTATTGGTGTTTCAATTGTCGGTGAACATCATGGTCAATGTCAGATCCACGAGGATAGTAGATTGCAGAATTGGCATGGATCGGGAAGTGCGTCATAGAGCGGCATCATGGGTGCGCCACATAAAATGTGGCGCTGCCACTGGCTGGAGCGGTTCTGTTCGATTCTCTTCACGTCCTAGACTACCTATCGGTATATCTCGTAGATTAGAATTGATCTTCAATGCAGTACCCAGATTAGTTATCGTACGCTGAAAACGCAAAAATAAAATAAAATAAAAGGACTTTTTTTTTCTTGTTAGCCAGGGATCAACCGGTAAGCACCAAACACAATAGTCTGGAAGGCAACTGAAAGGCGGGCTGACTACCCGGAAGTGGCTTTTGCATGGGTTGCTTTGACTTGGAATATCAGGCATTATTAAGTAAAGTATAACCCCAGCCAGCTTCGGACGATTTCCTGCTGCCCCTCTCCGCCTTCAACCTCTCTCTTCAACACCATGTTTGTCACTTTTTGCCTCATATCTTAACTGTTCTGATTTTTCGCTCTTTGAGTCACGTCGCGATATTCCTATAGTTGTGGGTTTTCTTCGTGTGTCAATGCTCCGCGCCCCGATCTAATTTGTTCGTTTATCTACTAGGCAGATGGATGGAAGATGAAGCTAGTTGCCTAACCCATAATATTTCCTCCTTCTTTCCTTCATAAGTAACCTCTTTGTCCCAGGTAAGCTTTTGGATATTTTCTTTGTACCATATTTAGACCCACTTTTTGTTATATCTCTCTTCTGCAACGTGCTCCAGAGCCTCCAACATATCAACATAGATTGTGCACAAGTCCGGAGGCTCTGTGATAACGGATCAACTCTGTCTAACCTTGTCTGTCTTTCCCTGTGTCAAGCAAGCTTAGTTCATTCTTACGCAACTAATATACTCTAATGCACCCTTGGTAAATAAACAAGTCCATTTCATTATTAAAACATTCTGTTTCTCTTGAGCCTGATATGTTCAGGAGTTTCGGGGTTTAGCCGCTAATGGAACCAGATGACGCATCGTCTATGCTTCTACCAACTACAATGAGCGACGATAATGTTGATCAGGAAACCTTTCCTTTACGATTCCGAGATCCCGTAAGAGACCAGAATCTGGGTTCTCCCGAAGTTGGAGTAGAGACGGGCTTTTCTAAGTGAGTAATTCACCCATCGTTAGGTGGCCTCTGTTAAATGATGTGTCGAGGCCACCAGCGGCTCACTGGCCATTGCAGCAAGTTGTTAACCTTTCACGCAGGAAGCCGGTTGTACCAGTAGTGTCGGATGCTGGGTCTCCAGCAGGGTCATCTTCGACCAACCAGGCGCGCCACTCCACCAGTTCTTCCCTTTTGAAGAGACTTGAGTCTAGTGGTGATGTCCCGAATGGTTATATCGCGGATGGTCTAAGTGATCCCGATAGCGAATGGGTATCTCCGAACAAGAGGCGTTGTCAGTCACGGCACAGCAGACGGGGGCCATCCAGCGCATCTCCCGGTCGTCCAATCCGCAGGCCAATAACTGAAAATCTACTTTCAAAAGCCCAATTCAACGGAACCGATGCTCACTTTCGTAGTGCTTCTACCAAATCGCCAGCGGATCTCAGTGGAGACTTTTCACAGACACACCACCAAAGAGACTCCAACCAGATTTTGAACGAAAGCCCACATATATCGAATGCGAACCTTACACAGGGCGCTATGGCTTCCGTGCCTGTATCAAACGAATCTAGAGAGAGTTTGAGCCATGAACAGAAGATGGTTGGAGGGCACTCTGCGGTAGCTGGAGGTATAGAATCAACTGGGATCATCTTACAGCCAGAAACTCATCCTATAACAGAAGATCAATTAGCCAATGAGGTTCGAGGAATCTACGCCGGGCTCGTCATGGTGGAGAAGAAATGTATCGACATTGTCAAACAACAATTTGTACAGGAAAGCGAGCTGTCCCATCAGCAATGGCAAGCCTTGATCGCCTTACACCGAACTTTACTCCAAGAGCATCACGACTTTTTCATGGCCTCGCAACATCCGTCGGCTAACCTAGCTTTGAGAAAATCATCGGAAAAGTACAATGTGCCAGCTCGTATGTGGCGCTACGGAATCCAGACGTTTCTAGAATTGTTACATCGCCGACTTCCCGATTCCCTCGAACACATGCTGACGTTCATTTATCTGGCTTACTCAATGTTGACACTGCTGTTAGAGACCGTCCCAGCATTTGAAGAAACCTGGATTGAGTGCCTTGGAGACTTGTCAAGATATGGCGTTGTTATTGAAGAACGTGGCTTGCTGGATCATGAGATCTGGGTTGGAATCGCAAGATATTGGTACAACAAGGCAGTAGATAAGAACCCTGATGTCGGCAGGATCCAACACCATCTCGGAGTTCTAGCTCGGCCCGATATTGTCCAGCAGCTGTTTTACTACACAAAATCCCTGGTTTGTGTGCGTCCATTCCCACGCACCAGGGTAAGTATCCTGCGCTTCTTTAGCCCGCTCTTGCAAGGCCCTAGAGTGATCGGCTACCCCCATGTCACGACCGCATTTGTGTCCGCCCATGGCTACCTTTTTACGCAAGCTACTGCAGTTCATTTCATTAAATCATCGGATGAGTTTTTGTCCTCCCTGGAAAAGTATATTCCCCGAGTGGGCGTGACTTTCAGAATGCAGGGAGTTTACCTCACTTCTTCTAATTTTGCGGCAATGCTAGAATACAGTAATAGTGATTCTCTCCTATGCGCTGAATTTCACCAAGTGGCCACAGAGCAGGCCAAGCCATCTGAAGACCTCTCTGCTGCTGAGGACCCCGTCAGAAGCGCCCATGAGGCTGTGACTAGTTTTCTTACCCTTAAGGCTCAACAAGATCCCTCCCAGCTGGCTTATGGGTCTAGCCTTGCTTTTGAGACGTTCTCCGTTATGCTTGAACATGTTAACAACATGAATCTATTCCCCGCACTCCATACCTCTCTGGCATTTCTATGGTGTCTGTCATATACCGCGACTGGTATGAAATGTGTTGAAGCCGTAGTTCCTTGGAACAGAATTGTCATCTTCCTCAATATGATCATTCAACCGAGCTTTCTTCAAAGACTGGTTCAGGGTTGGTTGAGCTCACTGGATGAATTTGACTTCAACTTGATCGAGGGGGCGGAATTCCCTATTTCTAATGAAACAAGTTGGCTTCCGGAAGACTTCCTCATTCGTGGCCAGATCTGGAGCCAGGTTTATTATCCTTCGTCGTTTTTTGAGAGTTGCCCTTCCGATGAAGATGGGCGCAATGTCGAACGAGAGTCCCTGAGTATCTCTAGAATGTACCGGTGTCTCTGGTTGGGTGTGAGGCTGGCGAAGGTATGTGTTCGTGGACAAGCAAGAGTGTGGATGCTGGTGCTGACATCTTTCAGTTCAATCGTTGGATAATGTACGACCCTGCATCGCGACAGTTCACCGTGACGCCATTTGCTCTGGAACTCGAGGCAGCTCTGAAATCCGAGACTATATCTGAACTCGAAAAGATGGTGGAAACAAAATCCGGCAGTGCTCTTTACTTGGTAAGGCATAGGTTTCAGTTGCCTGGCATACAAGACGGAGTACAGTGTTCTCCATCAACAGGTTAGAATACATAATTCAAATATAGATATTCTTATGACACTTCCGACCGAATATTCCGTATCTTGTATAGTCCTGCCCATATGGCCTAGCCAATGATTATCTCAGCTAGCGCATTGCAAAGAAACAAAGTGTGTAGAAACCTCGTCAGCAATTGGCTTTCTAGCAGCACCGGTGTTCTACAATGGATCACTCGCTTCATCATGATACGGTTTGAGATTTTCTGAAAGTGTTCTCTTCGAGCACATAAGAGCTGTGCGTTGTTGTATAATGGTAACCGGGGGAAGTAAGAATACGATGTGGGCGAGAAACGAGGATGTTGATTGGCCTTATTCAAGGCAGAGTTCTATCACGCCATCAAGACAGAATTGAAGCAATTGACCATTATCTGCGCATATGCCCTTGCGTCCGGCTGACAGTGACAGTATAAGTTTGAAGTATCGTCCAATCTTGTGGTTCTCCATAGCCTGAACCACCCCAAAGCCTTTATATAATTCCATCCGTCGAGCCCTATCGGATAGTATCATGTCTGTCGCAAAAGAATTCGAGGTGGCTAATACTGAATACGCTGCGTCCTTCAGCAAAGGCGGCCTGCAGATCCCTCCGAAGCGGTAAGCACACAGTCTTTTCACTCATGTATCCCCTGTGGTAGTCTATCAATAGCGCAAGTTCAAGGCCTGATAGAGCCAATGCGGCATCGTAGGAAGGTGGCTATCGTGGCATGTATGGACGCTCGTTTAGGTGGGAATTCAAATTCTCTTGCAGGACTTATACATTCGTGATTCACTGACTGAGATCAAGATCCGGCTCGCGCCCTTGCTCTTGAGGAGGGCGATGCCCATGTGATTCGAAATGCCGGTGGTCGCGCAGCAGATGCTCTGCGAAGTATCATCATCTCCCAGCAGTTGCTTGGTACCCGAGAGATTGTTATTATTCATCATGTACGTGAGAGCCCATGACAGTCGTCGAAGGAGAAGGATGATTTGAAAGAGTAGAGACCGACTAATATCTTGGATCACTCTAGACTGATTGTGGGATGCTCACATTTACTGATGAGGTGATCCGGGGCAAAATCAGATCGGACCTTCGTCAAAACGCTGATCATATTGCTTTCTTGCCGTTTGGCGATCTCAACCAAAGTGTGTTAGACGATATCAAGGTGCTGAGAGAGAGTCCTCTGGTCTTGGATGTTCCTATCACGGGGTTTCTGTACGAAGTTGAAACAGGAAAGATTGTCAGGGTCGGGGATAATTTGTGATAGAAGATGCTCGAGGACAGTCTTTCCCTGTGTGGCTGAATCAACCACTACTCTGGCTTTATTACAATAAAGTACCATTATATCTACACCGAGCCAAAGTTAGCCGACTTACTACTGATTTAGAATATCAGTGACTCTTTGCTATTTCCAAAAAAGACACTAGTATCTTCAAGTTGTACTAGATGGTCACGAGTGACAGTGGGCCAAACCAGTCACATCAAGTGTTTCAACTTTGAAATCTCCCGACCCTTCGTTGCATTGGTCTAGAATAAGGCTGACCCCACACGGTTGCTCCAGAGTCGCATACACTCACCTTGCTGTGCGAGGCTGCTTTGTTGTTTTGCTCCCAGCCTACTAATTATTTTCGCGACTAGTCTCATTATTTGTTAAGTACATGCCATGGTTCTGGTTCTGTTCTGGCTACACCAACACTCACTAATCACACAAGGATGTCACCATGTATGGTAGGTCACCTCCAGACCCTTTGTCTCCTTACTTGTTGGATATTTTGCTAACAGCGTAATATACAGCATTGGTGTTTCCGATAGTAAAATTGATACCCATTCGCAACCCCCAGTTGGCCTTTACATGTGCGTTGATGGCGTGGTGCTTTAGGCTCAAATATGCAAATTCCGACTCTCTACACCACTGGTAAGCGGTATCAAGGGAACCAAACAATATTTGTAAGATGGATGCACAGCCTGCCTGGTCAGAGCGATGCAAGCATGTCACGGTCAACGTTGTCCAATAAAGAAGGCCCATATCAGTACAACGATGAGAGTCTGCTCAGCCGCATATTGTGCCCTGAGGCTAGGGATCCAACAGGTTTCTACAACCAATAGTGACTGAAATATGAATCATGGGATTCTAAGACCACTTGGACTTATGCAAAGTCCGACATGGGTGAAGTGACTTCTTTTACGCGGTGGCTCCGCGAAGACACTGCCTAACCCTGGTGGAACCCAGAGACATATTACCCTCTCCTTCTTCCTAACATTGTCGATCCGTGACTTTGAATAGCCCGCCATGATATGGTAGGGCTTGATCAGAATGTCTAATCCTCAGCGAGCTATAATATATCCTCTACAGGTATCAGTACTTCTCTTTCCTCTATTGACTCTTGTCCATGTGAGTACTCAAGTTCCTGAGCGCAAATACAGTTCTTACTGTACAAACGGACCCTCTCGTGCAGCCGGAATGCGCTCTGCTTACTCACTCAAAAACAAGGTATCGAGATCATCCAACCGGCTCAAGGCGATCGACTGAATGCCATGGATGGCGTTACAGTGAGATGGACATATAACTCCTCACACGACCCTTTGGAGGCCGATTTCCAGATTGGGCAGGAAGGACACAATATTGTCCCACATGCAATAGTTAAACTTAACATGAGTTCTATTGGGTTTCAGGCTGAGCATGTTACAGGCCTTCTGGGTCCATCTGCATTCGTGAGGATATGGAACGCCGACTGGATAGACACCTCGAGTGTTAAGGAACTCGCCAAAGTCAATGGTTTCACACTTACCACCGCAACTACCCTTGTCCATATGACATCGTCGGTACCCCGTGCTACTACTACCAGACCTGGAACCGCTACTGGCGCCTCGGCCTCAAATGGCTCCCTGTCGACCACCAAACAGCCCAAGACGACGGTGACACTGACAGCCATCCCCGATCCTATGCTGGAGGAAAGCAGCCCAGGATTGTCCACAAGTGCGAAGGCAGGGGTTGGAGTCGACGTATCCGTTGGGGCAATTATGATTATCTCAGCCGCTGCCTTTCTTTTCGTGAGGAACCGCAGGAAGCAGGGAACTAGGCAAGATGTTCGATCTGAGCTACCTGTTAATCCCACTCCAAAGAAAGTAGCAGTCCTGTCTAAGCCCGCAGAACTCCAGTCAACATCGACCACAAGCATGAATCTTATGAACTGCCTGTATAATGGTGGCGGTGTGTAGAGTGAAACATCGGCATGCCTCTACCAAGTGAGACATCATAGGAGCGATGCAAGCATTCTGTTTCATTGGGATAGTAACAATGGATATCATTATCCTACTTCCATTCCAATTGCGCTATTTAAGGGATATTTGAAGTAGTACACCACACAGCGGTGTAGTGCATTAAAAGTGAAATGGGACAGCTCTTCCTACTCATGCTTATATTTTCACTTGTGACACCCATTGGCCAGAAATTCGCATTAGTCTCCAGTTATCATAAATCAGACTGATCGAACGAAACCCTATAGCTTTGAATCTCAATATATGTTATCATAGAAATGATTAAATACATTGATCAATTAACAATGGTACCATAAAGCCCTAGTCTCAGAGCATCTAGTAACCAGAATTACCGTATCCAGAGCGCTCACTAGATCCGTACGAGTCACCTTGGTTCTTAGAACCGTAGGAGTCAGAAGACCCATAGCTGTCATTCTTCGAGCCGTAGTTGTTACCAGAGGACCCGTAAGAGCTGCTATCGTTATCACGACGGCTGGAACCATAGCTATCATTCTTGGAACCGTAGGAGTCATTGGAGGATCCGTAACTATCCTTCTTAGACCCATAAGAGTTATCGTTGTCGTTATCACGACGGCTGGAACCATAGCTATCATTCTTAGACCCATACGAGTCGTTAGAGGAGCCATAGCTATCCTTCTTAGAACCGTAAGAGTTATCGTTGTCGTTGTCACGACGCTGGAACGCATAGCTGTCATTCTTAG